GTCTAGAAACTAAATCTACGGCGGGAGATAATTTAATTCTATCGAAATAATTTCAATGGCTAAATAGGTACAAAAAATAAACGACTTTTTAGTTCAGCCGCAAGTTATTAATCTCTTCAGGTAGAGACACAATGATTTTTAAATAGAAAAAAGTATTATTATGACGCCATTCTAAAATGGTCTCTTACATATATGTAACCGACTATGTCATATTTCTAAAGAAGAAAATTGACACGGTCATTAAGGTCTATGTAACATAGCGATTAGTATTTCCGCCTGTATAGCGGAAGACGCAGGTTCAAATCCCGTCTGTCAGCTTAGCAGAGTGCATTTTTTTCTAGTTAAAAAGATCATTATATTTATACCTAGATCGAGCAGATTAACGCTTAAAATAAAATATATACAGGATGGTCCAACTAGTGACGTCAACAATATTTTTTTAAATTCCTCGCACCTGGGGGTATCCGAAAATACGCCATGTGTGTTCCGCGATTTTTCTTAGTTTTCGAGTTATATTTTTTTTTGTGTATTTTTAATGATTTCTGCCGGCGAGGTTTCAAAAATTCTTATCTTTTTTCGTAGCAGTTATTTTGCAGTCTTTTTTTTTGTGACATAATTGTCTTGAATGTTGTTTTAATAAAAAAATAACTCAACTTCCTGCAATTACTTAAAGTTACTCAAAAGGCTTGAAATTTGGATCCTTAGTTTTTGACGTCACTAGTTGGACCACCTGTATATGTTAAACAATTTCAGTCATAAATTATTTACAGTTAATTTGAAAAAAAGAAGAAGAAAGAAATGAATACTATTTTAACAAATGTTTCTAGGAGAGAGAGCACTGAGAAATTTTCCACTCAGATTGAGACCGCCTTCTAGGAATGTAGCCTCCATCTTACAGAAAACTGCAATAACATAATAATTTTATTTGGCAATAAGCAACACTTACTTAGTCATTTACTCTCTTATTAATAAACAAGAAATAAGCTTAGACTAGTTACGCCGTATTTTGTCCATGTCACTCAAATGCCATGTGTCATTCAATAGACAGAGACAAAATGTAGAGTAACTAATCCAAGCGTAATCTTCGTTTATTAATAAGGGGTTAGTGTTGTACGTGTTCCTGTAGTGAAGAATATTTAAGGGCTCTCTTTGCGGAGCAACTGCGTAAATAATCTGGAACCATAAGGGCGAATTGACACCGTAATGGCAGCGGCGTACAACGACACGACGCGGCGAGCACCATCTGATTGAAAACAGTGTAGCATAATTTCACACTTTATTTACAAACTTATAAGACCAACACCGCTTGATAAGGTTCTAAGGTGTCGCGAGGGCACCGCTGCCATTGCAGTGGGAATCACCCATAATTATTCCACCTCGTAATATTTATTTTATTTATTTATGGCATAAGGTTTGATTGTTATTAATAATAAGGTTACCATACCAATACGTTACCATGAATAAAAAAATCATGACTTCTATTATGATTTCAGGCGAGGGATTGATACTCTACATTTATATGACAAACAGGGGCGATGCGTGTAGTTTTGCATAATAAATATTTCACAACAGACCAATACAATTCAAGCTGAGTTTACTGTGTGGTTCTAAAAACGCAACATTACCATAATAAATATATTGTTATATCCCCATCGAAGCGTAGAAATAATGTTATTTACGCCAGTAACGCTATTTTAATTACTGACTTGGCGCTAAGCTCGAGTTATCCACCTTTTAACCATCTGCTGTGATGTATTTTGATCTTTTCAGGGTTTACTAACTACTAGCCAAAACTAATATCACTAATTCTTTCGCTGTTCATAGTTTTGTCTGTCTGTCAGCAGGCGCGGTCTTATTGATTGTAAGCGTGGACAGTAATTTTATTGCAGAACTAGCGGCCCGCCCTCGTGTAGAGCTGAAGTGTAGACTACAGTTTTTGTTCTCAGGCTTGTATTATACACAATGACATTCTTCTATGATTCCTCTTATACCTGCATGCAAAGTCTCAGCCCGATGGGTTTAAAATTGACAAAGTTTCATACAAACTTTCATTCCCTATTTTATCCCCTTGGGGGTAGAATTGATCAAAATCCTTTCTTAGCGGATGCCTACGTCATAACATCTACCTGCATGCTAAATTTCAGCCCGATTCGTCTAGTGGTTTGGGCTGTGCGTTGATAGATCACTATGTCAGTCAGTCACCTTTGAGTTTTATATATATTGATGATGTGTATAGTATACCTGTTAGAGCTTTAATGATAAATAGCAAAAATGGCAAAATATCAAAAATATTTTTATAACACGTTTTTATTAGGTCGACTTGTAACGAACAATGTATTAAAATCTAAGAATCTGAATTACACGCATTTCTAATTTTTGTGTGATCATGAAACTTCGCAATTATATGTAGATGAGATGACAATACAATATTATGGTACCATCGAGCTGGTCTGATGATGGGACTGGAAGGTGGCTGATGGAACCTTGGACTGCCTACTAGTAAACATATTGAGTTTGGGCTCATTACGAGTAGATTTGTCTTTACATATTCTATTAATTGCTTCTGATGATCAGGAGCTAACGATGGACTGGTCTTAGGAGCTTCATTACCTAACAATTGCTTGGTTCTGATGGTTGGTTGGTTGATATCCGAATATCAACTAGCTAAAGACAATGATGTGTCACATGCTGAGGTTGGATATGAAATCCTAAAAAGTTGATAAATCCCGCTTCATTGTTTAAACAGCTGGCACCTTAAGTATTTTAAGGTTTACTGAAATTCAAAAGCACGATACCTACCCAAATAATAAAGTAAAGGAAGTAACATACGCCTACTAAAACTTTCAAGACGATTGCGTAAAACCGAACGTTCTTGCGTAAACATTCTCAAAGAAAGCGGCGAGAGCTTTCTCCTATAACGTCTGCCGGAGATATTGCAAAATTTTAAGAGGCAGGCGTATATGAATTCTGCGTTATTGCGGAATGTTGAATGTGAATATCTGATTTCTATAGGATACAATTTTTTCAGATTTGAATCAGAGCTTTATTTACGTTCTATGAAGAAGATTCCCAATATAATTTTGATAGATATGTTTTCATCGTTAACTTTTATTTGTAGGTTTTTGATCTTGGAATTGTACCCTCTTTTGTAGGTCATATCGCTTAAATTATATTTTTTATTTCAATGTAAATTCAAGACAGAACACCAAATAAAATAATCTAATCTTCTAGCTTATTTTGTACTAATACTAATTACAATCAGCCCTCCATCAAAAAATTTGGACTTTTCCCTTAATTTGACATCAGACACCGATAAATATTTGTTAGGATATGACGGCTATGTTGGCAAGCCGTCAACACGTCGTATATTTTGCCCATAATTTCTTTCCAAGTTTATAAATAGTATGTTTGCTTTCATCGTTATACGTATCACTGGGCTACTATCTAAAGATTTTACGAACAAGGCTTGAAATCAGAAAATTTAGATATGCATCATACAATTTAACTAAACATGTTAAAGAGATTCAATAACTATGTAGATAGCCTGTTATACCAAAACAAGATTTCACCAGGAATATTTAAAAGACAAAGCATTTATTTTAGGAACTCGGGCCTAGAATAATTCTCATCTCTTAACAATAAGAACAACAAAAGCCATTATTATCACAAGAATTAATCTGCAAATTCGAAGAATGCCAGTCTGATAACTGGGGTCAGTTGAATTTTTCTAGTAAAAATTCTTTAGTTATAAAAGTTCAGAGCAGTCGTTCCAAAACAATAAGCACTCTGGATTGACCCGTTTGTCAAGAGCGCTTCTCACAGTTTGACCCCCATTCGGTTTGTTTTGACCGATCAGGTTTTCCGTACATACCAGTTTCGATTTCAACATTTTATGATTTCACATCTACGCTGTCCGTCGCCGCCGCTTTCTTTCCGTAAGCTCTCTAATCTTAAAACAGTGGAATTAATTTCCTGATCTACAGAAATTTAAATAAGTGCCAATAGAAACTTTATGAAAGTGCCGATGAATTTTGTTGACAACATTAGGTAATTTATTTTAATAGTATAGATAATTAAATAGCGGATTCGTGGTATACGGTGCTAATTTTAGATGAATGAAAACTATTATATCCATAGATAACACTTCTGGGTGTTGAGTTAATCGCTTGGTAGAGAGAAGAACGCGAAGAAGGGCCCAGAAGTTGCACCCCAGTTGTAGGTTTAAATAAAACCTCTGCTAGAAGATGCTGCTTCGCTGCTGCTGCTAATCTCGACTACATACATTCTCCCCTCTCTTTCTTCTTACTAAGACGGATTTAGTAATATGGAGTTTCAGAGTGAAGAAAAATCTAAAAGATCCAATATTGGTGTCGATTCTGGCACGATCCTCTAAATCTAAACTTAAATTTGACAACAGTCTATCCTTGTCGTTCTCTATACAGAATAAAGAGGAGAGACTGATGTCAAATTTAGTTTTAAGTTTAGAGAATCAAGCCAAAATCGACATCATTGTCACTGTTGTGCTTATGGCCAAAGATATTACTGCATTCCGTGCCAGTGTTTAAATAAAGATATATTAACTGGCGTCATAAATTACTATGGGGATAAAAATAAAAGTGTTTGGTCAATTAAATATATTTAAATTAAGCGATCGTTACGAATCGAACTGGTTTTATATTTTTTTACTTTTTCTACTCGAATAGAATCATCGAGTTCAAATACGTAATGTTAAGAGACTGAAACGTATTGTAGATTAAAATGTTCTTGGCGTTTCTGATTTTCTTAATCATTCAGCGCTGCTAAGTCGTTTACTGGGTCTTGAGTAACTTATTAGATTGGACACCACTATTTTATTGATTTACATACTACCACTTTTTCAATTTTAATCCAGTTATATCTTGTTGGTGATGTTAAGGGAATATTGAAGTTTATTTGACAGCATAATTTAGGTTATATTTCAATTGACTATACTAAACAGTTAATATGAAATATATTTTATAAAATAATGTAAACATAAATTTAATCCATCAGTGACAAATTGAAAACGTTTAATTTGAACATCAATGGGATAATGTAAATAAAAAACAAGTCATTTTAAATAATGCATTTGGTTTATTCAATGGCTTAATATCATAATTATCATTATAAATAAATAGGTCTTCAAAATCATTCATTCCTTCACTCAATTATTAAGTACAAATATTTCGTGATACACGATACAATACTTTTATAAATACTTGAATATATAGAGATCATTAAAAAATAATTAAAGATTATACAAAATTTATAAATATATCACAATTACATATAATATGTATACATTTAGGTCAATAAAATATTGGATAAAATAAACGGTAAAACTTTATACATGAAGTTATATACAAAATCCTTATAATAGACTAAAATATAGTCATAATTCCTTTTCAGCCAAATTAACATGACACATAATACCTTTCTAAAACATGTAAAGTGACCGAAAAGAATTAAAAATATTTATCTACAATAAATTAATAATAATTCACATACCAATCTCATTCATTCTAAGTCTATAAATAAATAAATAAATAGACTTTCCTTAAGGAATCCATCAAACAATAGTATTTAGATGCTGTATTCGATTCCAGCATGAATTTACTTTCTATGGGCAGAATAGGCCAAATTGTTTCCTTCGGTCTTTGATCTGGACCAGCCTTGTTCCCAGCCGTGACCTACATGGCCTCCATGACCTCCGTAACCTCCACCGTGTGATTCTTCGACGGGTGTAGCCCAAACCTCCTCCTGTTGGTGTTGATGTTTCTTAGCCAGTAACGCCTTGATGATGCTAAACGCTTTAAAGAAGAAAGCGAGCTTTGCAAGCACGGCCAACTTAGCGAACGAGAGAGCGATCACGACGATGGAGAATACGACCAAGGCAACAGCTTTTGCTTTCGCGATAAGAATGAGAGGAATGAGAACCTTCAGTTTCTTCTTGAGTTCCTTCTTCTTTTTAGCACGCCCTTCTTCAGCTGGAAAATAAATAAATACAGTGTAAGATATTTCTGTAATTCTAACTTTTTTAATACAAACATTGTATTAACTCTTTGGATCTAAATTGTCCTTAATGCCGTTCTTATTTCTGACTTGCATGAGTGGTTTACCTACCTAATAAGATCGCAAAAAATATTGTTATCAAATGTCACAATTATAGATGGTAACATGACGTCAATATAGTGTTTAGTATTTACTTACTACTCCCATTTGGGAGTGATATAAATACGATCACATGTTACTTTCTTTTGGTGACTTTTGATGCTCTACCAGCCTCGCAAGGATTATCACAGGGTATGCATTTATATAACTGTTAAAGGTACAAAACAATGAGAATTCCATGACGAAGATTTATTTGTATCCTTATTTTAGACTGCGAAGTCGAAAATCAGTCTTATATCGTGGTATTTGAATCTTACCTTCTGCAAGTGCCCTAGATTCAGTGTCTTCTTCTTCTTCTTCCTCACCAGCATAGCTTAGCTCAAGTTCAGATCGCTGCAGTAAATCAGAAGCAGTAGACCACAGTCTTTCGGTGATCTGCTTGTTCTTTTCTTCAGGATCTGTGGGTAAAGCGTCTAAGCTTCTGGCTTCTTTAGGATTGGTATTCAGGATTGTGACACCTTCGAAGATTTTCAATTTGCGCACAGTTCCAAGTCTCTCGGCGGCCCTTAGTGCTTGTTCCTGAAATAGAATATTTCAAATGAATGTAGTTTAAGTTCTATTACGTATTTCTTAATTCCCAATCCCAAACAAGAAAGAATTCGCATGTATACATCGAATAAAACAAATAATTCGCATGAATAAAAATGATAAAACAAAGAATTCGCATGAATGAAATTCATAAAGCATTGTCAATAATTTTAGGACGTTTGAGAAAAAATCAAGATAATTATTTTCTAATACTCAAACTCCAAAAAATATGAAGGTCTCTTCACTAATCATCCCAGAATTTATCCAAAGTTTTTAATGAAAATAAACTTTATTATATTTGACATTTAAAACATCGCGCCTCTATTAAAAATATCAAGGTTATCTGCAAACAATCACTAAATAAAATACCAAAACTATTCTCATGACTGTTTTGGGAGACATGGCCATTGAAATTCACAGTATGTTTACAGTTATGAATACTCTTCTTGCATATTTTTAAGTGTAATATATGCGTTCACAGCTTTCTATTTAGTACTCATACATTGTTATTTTATAGAAGCGTTATGTTTTATTGTAAAACTTAATATTTTTCCACATTCTTTCGCCTAAAATTGATTCAATTTGTGTGATACTTAATATTTTAATAATTGCCAAGCTTCACTATCATTGATTAATTACGGAGCTTTGTCACTTTTATTAACTTCGAAATACGCTACAGCATAATCAAGTACATCACAGTTAATGTGGGCAATCACTGTTTGTTTACACCAAACACCGGGAAATAGGTCACCGAACGTACCTTCAAGCATAGCCCGAAATCGCTGTTCGCGCAATCCAATACATTTCCGACCATCCCACGCAGCACTAACTCATCTTGAGACACTGGACCACACGACGCCACTGCCACAAGGCTCAACAATAAACCGTAAAGCTTCATTTCCAAACTGCAACGACACGTGCCCACCGAGACCAAAGGAACTGTGATGCACGACTTGATTGCTAACAGTATTTTATCTAAAAGCCCCCCACTAGCGCGATGCGACGAATTCGCATTTTTATACATATATATTTTGTATGCTAAAAACAAACTCGGTGACAATATACCACGGTGTAGCTGATGTTTTCTTATTACCTAATTTATTGATATTCATCGTTCACGGACACGCTCGCTTTTTAAACGTGTTTATGCTGAAGACGTTAAGCTTTTCTCTATAATAATTACACTTTTATTAATAAAAAATATAAAGCCGTTTTTTTTAAAGAAATAGGCCATCGTTAGATATATTTTAAATTTTAAGCATTTAACTGCTAGATGTTTGTATCTGAAGAAGTTTTTACTAGAAAAAAATCCAGTGAACGTTACGCTACTGCGGCCCTGATGGCCGTGTCGAATTTTCTCTAGCATTTCTTATGCTGCAAGGCAGCGCCATTACTTCGCATTTTAAGTAACCCACTATATCAAATAACTATCTTGACAAGTATTAAACATTTAAAAGAAGAAATAACAATTATAATTATATTTTTATTTTTAACATTTGACTGCTAGATGTCTAAATCTAAAGAAAATTTTACTAGAAAAAAATCCCTGTAGACCAGGCAGCAGACGAGATTTTAACCCGCACCCTTCCCTATCCGGGCGAATGCACTGCCCATTACGCTACCGCGGCCCTGATGGCCGTGTCCAATTTGCTCTAGCATTTCTCAGCGCAAGGCAGCGCCATCTCTTTGCATTATAGGTAACCCACAATGTCAAATGAATATATTTGTAAGTATCAAATATTTGAAAAAAGAAATAGAAATTGTAGTTATATTTTTATTTCTTAAGCATTTAACTGCATGATGTATAATTTAAAGAAAATATTACTAAAAAAACACACGGACCAGGCAGCAGACGCGAAACGAACCCGCAACTTTCACTATCCGGGAGAATGCACGAACAAATATGGTACCGCGGCCCTGATGGCCATGTCGAATTTTCTCTAGCATTTCTAAGGTTGCAAAGCAGCGCCATCTATTGGCATTGTAGGTAACCCACAGTATCAAATCTTTACAAGTCTTCAACAATTGAAAGAAAAAATAGCAATTAAAGTTATATTTTTAAGCACTTAACTGCTAGATGTTTAAATGTAAAGAAAATTTTACTAGAAAACGTTCCACGCTGGCCAGGCATCAGATGGCAGTCGAACCCGTACCCTTCGCTATCCGGGCGAATGTAATGAACATTATGCAATTGAGGCCCTGATGGCCGTGTCCAATTTTCTCTAGCATTTCTTAGGCTGCAAGACAGCGCCATCTCTTCGCATTGTAGGTATCCCACAATATCAGTGCATTCGCCCGGATAGAGAAAGGTGACTGACATAATTCCTATTTGATTTGATTTTGATTTCCCATTGACGACGTCCGTGGCCGAGTGGTTTGTACGCCGGGTTTCATGGTGTCGCCGACTCGAGAGGTCCCGGGTTCGAATCCCGGTGGGGGCAGATGTTTGTGTGATGAACATGAGCATTTGTACTCCAGTCATGGATGTTTAGTATGTATATCTATAAAAATATACTTATATATGTACAGTATATGTATTCTATCCGTTACCCTAGCATCCCATAACACAAGCCTTATAGTGCTTACTTTAGGGCTAGGCTAATGGGTGTGTGTTGGAAATATTTATTTATTTTTAGTTCCTTTTATCAGGTTTTCGTCATAATGGCCTGCGCCGTCAACAGACTTTTGTCCGCGGAGTGGACTTTTGTCCCTGTAACACGTAAAAATTTACCACTGAGGATTCGTCACGGACTCATCGCAAACGGTGGTGGGTAGTTATGGGTGCTGTTAAAAATTAGAATGTATGTTTTGTAACTATACTGTTCAACAGATATTTATGTATAATCTAAATCGGTTATGTTATGTTCACAAGTGTTTCATCAACAGCCTATCTTAGTCCACTGCTGGACATAGGCCTCTCCAAATGCACGCCACTTAGATCGATCTTGGGCTACTCGCATCCAGCTCCTGCCAGCCACCTTGCGCAAATGGTCACTCCATCGCGCCTGAGGACGTCCTACACTACGTTTGCCTAGACGCGGTCTCCACTCCAGAACTCGTCTACCCCAACGGTTATCGGTTCTTCGACAAATATGGCCAGCCCACTGCCACTTCAACTTGCTAATCCGGTGGGCTATGTCGATAACTCTGGTCCCCGGTGGGCAGTGGCGGCGCGGCATGTCCGCGGCTGCCCGCTGTGGATCATATAAACCAGTTTATATGCAGTAACGCAGACGGCGACGCGGGGCGGTCAGCTCAGTCCGCGCCACGCGCTTTTTAGTGATGGACTATTCACTAGAACGAACGTCCTGAACTGCCCGCCTCTGCCCGTCGTGTGCTTTGTGTACGCGGCGCGGGCAGCCGCAGACATCGACGGGCAGACGCGTTTTTTATTGCTTAGCGGACAAAATGCCCGCCCCGCCCCGTCGTCTGCTAAACGCCTTAATGCGCCGATACAAGACGCCGCCACACGTCACTCGCGCGATTCCCCACCCCTCCCTTCCTTACCTTAGACGGCCGCTGTCGCGCGCTTCAGCCACTTTAGTAGCCGCTTCTAGGTTCTCGTGGCGGCGTTTGTGGCTGTGACGTGTGTGGCGACACTTAGTTCTAAAAATATGGATTATAACCTAATTATGTACCATAAGGTGAAAAAGTACCCACTGTTACTAACCGTGGTAGTACCGAAACGGCCAAGCACCATATTTTGAGTAAGGTTTAGAATTAAGCGCAACGTGTTCCCTCCTTCCTATAATCTGGGGTCTTTTATGAGAGGCGTGAAGAAGCATTTTTGCAGGCCGGCAAGGTGAGGATGGTTGGTGTAGCAGTTTATAACTGCTGTACCAGCTATCTTCGCGTTTGGACTTTATTACCACTTAACATCAGGTGGGGTAGAGCCATTTGCCTACCTCGCTATAAAAAAAAAATAAAAAAAAAAAATGGGTGCGTGTACTTATGTAGGCGCGTGAGAAGTTATCCTTCTTTGGCATCGTGTAAAATTAGTTTTTAATTGCATGCAAAAAATTAATTACAATAAATTAATAAAAAGTCTGGAAAAGGACACAGTCAATAAAGTTCAGTTTTAATTTGAAAAAATAAATAATTAATCAAAATATTCAATTAAAATCGCTACTGAATATAATTTATTAGAACATATGTGATTTGCACTTGTATGAAACTCAAACACGTATTCCGAATATATAAACTAGAAACATGTGGATAAATATTATAAATATGAATACCTATAACTGTTACTTTATTACAAAAAATAAAGATGTGGTTTTTGGTTCTACTACACCAATGGTCAAGAGATGGCGCTGTAGTCTCCTGAATCGCGCTTTGGTTCCGTTGTTCCAGATTAATAAATACTTTTGATAGGCCTTCACAATGCAGTCGTTAGCACCCACTAAATAGAGATTCTATTTCTATTTTGTTGATAGATTTTCTTAATGTGCGGTCGCTAAAGCGACCAACTTCATGCTGTTAAAATTTTGTGTTACAGTGATGCGCGCGCATCTTAAAATTTCACTCTCATCATTTTTTCATAACGCGCCTAAAGAAGTATAACTTCAAAAAGGTTGCGAAGTTAGGCCTTGTAGAGTTAAAATCTTGGCTCTACATGAGATCTGATAATTAGTTGACAGTTCAAGTCATTTTTATATGATAACTAGCTGACCCAGCGAACTTCGTACCGCCCTTAAAAAATAGGGGTTGTCCAGTGGACAAAATTGTGAATCTAAACCATTCTCAGATCCCCTTGAACACGCACAAAAAATTTCATCAAAATCGGTCCAGTCGTTTAAGAGAAGTTCAGTGACATACACACTCACAGAAGAATTATATATATAAAGATATCGATAGTGGGATTTGATTTCTCTCAGTAAGTATCTTGTGACATTATTTTTACCTGACTGCGGAGGGTAATGTTGTTTTAATCTTTTTTTGCGGTTACGATTTTTTTTTTGTTTATTATACCAAGGAATCCAGAAATTTTTACTAGTAAAATATTTACGCGGTGAAATTTTTATGCCGTTAACCCACAATGCACTGACATTGTGGGTTACCAATAATGTCAGTGCAAAATAAAAAATGCTAGAGAAAATTCGACACGGCCAGCAGGGCTGCGGTAGCATGATGGTCAGTGCATTCGCCCGGATACCGAAGGGAATTTGTTCAAGCAAAATAGATAGAAATAGATTTAAACATCTAGCAGTTAGATGCTTAAAAATAAAAATATTACTTTAATTACTATTTCTTCTTTCAAATATTTAATACTTGTAAATATATTCATTTGACATTGTGGGTTACCTACAATTGCTAGAGCAAATTCGACACGGCTATCAGGGCCGCGGTAGCGTTTATGGTCAGTGCATTCGAAAGAAATTCACGCGGTGGCTTCAAAAGCTGCGGTTCGAGTCCCATCTGCTGCCTGGACTGCGTTGATTTCTTTCTAGTAAAATTTTCTTTAGATTTAAACATCTAGCAGTCAAATGCTTAAATAAAACAAAAATGGATGCGTGTAACTTATGTTCGCGCGTGAGAAGTTATACTTCTTTAGCATCATTAAAAATATTTTTATTGCATGCAAATAATTAATAATTACAATAAAATAATTTTTATTATTTTATTGTAATTATTAATTATTTGGATTGGAAAAGGATAGTTAACACAGTCAATTAAGTTCAGTTTTAATTTGAAAAATTAAATAAATATTCAAAATATTCAACTAAAATATCTACTGAATTTAAGTTATTAGTCCATATGTAATTAGCACTTGTAAGTAACTAAAACACGTTGTGTCTATATAGAAATTAGAAACATGTGGATAAATATTATAAATATGAAAACAGTGATCAGAGGCGACGAGCGCGCCAACATTGTTTTTGACAACGCGATCATCTTATGGAGCTCCATGGATCGTTCAAAGTACCTTTCGAACAGATGTCTAATAATGGTAGATTATTAACCACTAAGTGGTTAATAATCCACCATTATTAGACACTAACATTCATAACACGCCCGCGGCCAACTTCATGGTGTTACTATTGTGTTACAGTGATGCGCGCGCATCTCGAAATTTCACTCACATGATTTTTTCATAACGCGGCCGCGGCCAACTTCATGCTGTTACTTTTGGGTTACAGTGATGCGCGCGCATCTAAAAATTTCACTCTCATCATTTTTTCATAACGCGCCTAAAGAAGTATAACTTTAAAAATAGAATCAAGGAGTCCCTATATCGATTATCAGAGCTCATACTCAATTTTAAGACCACTAGCGTCAAAATTGCGGAAATCTCATAGAAATTTCAATCTTCTAGTTTAAAAAGTTGGGGGCTAATCTGTTGCTAACATAGTTTATAAGATTAATTATGTTACTAAAAGTATGGACAAATGTCCAAAATAAATGAATTTATTATTTATTATTATTAAAAGGGGGGATTAAAGTTACAAGTTTTATAATTTTGTTATTGTTTGTGTGCTAATACGGCTTACATACCAAATTTCAGATTTCTAGGATAATAGTGAATACCCTAAGAACTTTCATCTTAACGTCTTGGCAGGGGCACAACTGTGCCCCCAGAGGTACGCTTTGTCATCTTGTCGTCTTCATAGTATGTTTTTCAACAGGAATAAAGTTCCTGGTCCGCATGGATTTTTTCTAGTAAACTTTTCTTTAGATTTAAACATCTAACAGTTAAATGCTTAATAAATAAATAAAATCATAGGATTAAAGTATTCATAATACTAGGTGTAACGCAAAAACAAAGGGCTGATGTTCATAAAATAATTTATTTTCATTATATTTTATATAAATACTGAGGTACTGGAATATGGCAACTTCGGACACACATGTATAAATATTCACACACACACTCACGTACATGCAATAATAAATACGTTCACACATAAATTGGACTATTTATAATTGACCTCCGTAAGCCAACGAATGTGCGTCGCCAGTTTGTCTGCTGCTCCAGCCCTGAGCTGGTTCGTAGTTGTAACCAGGGTGTTCCTCGTGATGATGAGGAGCGGAGTAGCTAATGGAAGATCCTCCCGAAGATCCATTCTTGGCGAAGAGTTTTCTGATTAGGTTCACGGCGTTCATGGCAAACATGATCTTGCCAAGGAAGATAGCCTTGAGAGCGGCGAAGGCGATGATTCCCAGGAACAAGGGGATAAGAGCAGCCAGCTTCAACTTGAAGAGAAGGAGCAGAGGGAGAAGCTGCTTGATCTTCTTCTTCTTCTTGCCACGAGCTGAGGATGAAAAAGGTGTGATTAGAATCATATTTATCATAGCAAAAGTATTTTCCTTATATTTATTGCCTAAATATAGTAATTGTTCTGTAACTTTCTTTAGTGTAAATAAATATGATTATAAATTAAGCTTTTTTCATTATAAATATAAAGATGAAAAAGAAGCACGTAATATATGCCTTGTTTTTTAACAACAGGTCAACAATTTAGAAGTTATCATAGCGACGCCAAAGTTAATGCTAGGTTTCTCAGATTTGCATATATTTTAAACATCAAGATTGATGACTCATCAATCTGAAGTATGTAGAAGAAAAAAAAAATATTTTGCGAGTTGAGTTCTACCTCTTTTGTGTTTGAATTCATTGTGCTTTAACGAGGTAACATCAAACTTTAAGTTATGAATGATTTGATAAATGGAATACTTTGAAACAATCACTTTCAGTATTGTATGGGACAACACAGACTTCCTTTGTCATAAACACCTCAGCTGTTCTTTTAGAAATTGGTTCTTATTATAGCCACAAAGCGTTACGTATTAAGGATTTTCTATTTAGTTTACAGAATTTAAATAGTCTCATTACAGAGTTTCGTTAAATGGGATTCCGTGCAGTATTGATTTTCTAATGGCTAGTGTATAAATAGTCTGAAATGTTATTCAAAGACGGAACTCCAATTTCAATTAAAATTTTCTTTTTGTACGATGACAATGTAACCTTTTATATTCTACACAGACACGACCTTCTTTCACGACATTCTTATGCTGCTTACCTTCCTCATCTAAGTCTCGGGATTCATTCTCAGCTTGGTCAGTCAGTCTTAACTGCAGGACGTGATTGTCCAAAAAGTCCCCAATATTGTTGGCGATCCTTTCTTCCAGTTGCATTTCTCTCGTCTTCGGATCCTCAGCTAAAGGTTCATAGTTTCGGGCGGAACGAGCTGATCCAGTATTAATCAAGGTCATGCCATCGAAGATGCTTACATCTTTTGTTACAGCCAAGCGTTCGGTGTATTTAAGTGCTTTTTCCTGAAATCAAATTGCTATTAATGAAGTTGCTAAACGAACACGGAATAAATCATATTGGCCACTGTTAAATTTCAATATCATGCAATTTATTTTGAATCAAAATAATCAAAATCGCTTAATTGTTTGAGTAGTCTATAGAGAAAATCAAGCAAATTGCAGAAGAGCGTGTCCGCTTTACATAACTTCAAGACCTAACTCAACAAATCTATTATCTCTACAGACTCGTTAGATTCACACTTTTCCGTTAAACAAATATCTGTCATCAGACATAAAGCCTTAGTCCGCTATACAAAATTCCGATGAATTCACAACACTTCACTTAGCACTTTACATCCATTGTATTCACCTTGAGGCATAAAGACGTATCGTTTTCTATACACTCGGACACGGCGCCAATAAGATTTTCAGCTGCACCATCTTGCACGGGACCGCACTTAACTGAAGCCACAAGGGCAAACAATGCCAAATATTTCCACATTTTCATATCTGTAAACAACACTGTGATGCACTTCGTCTGACGCTTGGCAGCTTATGATGTTTTCCCAAAAAACTGATGGATTTTATCCTTCGGGCCCCCACCAAAGTTTTGCCAGTGACATAACACAACGTGGCCATTTACCATTGCTTGCTAACTGAGATGCCATAAGTCCAAACGTAAGGATAAGTAGATAAATAAATATTGGATGTTAGAAAGCGTTTGCTTTGCGACATTCAAACACGGACGCGAGGTTTTGTGATGCTAGTGCAAATGAAACGAAAGAAAAAGTGTGATTGTTTGAATTTCTTTATGTGAACTTTGTGAAAATTATCGCAACTGGTACGTCATCAAATTCATTCAACATTTTATCTATTGAAAATTGAAGTTCATTGCTCACTCTCGCATGAACATCTTCTAATTTTCTATGTAGCTATTTTATTAAATATGTTTCTGCATTTCGAGGTCAACAGGAAACCGGTTTTTTTTTTACTTTCTGCAGACGCGTAAGTTTTCCATACCTTTTTCTAGCTATATATGCAATTTTCTCTAAAAAAAAAGAAAATTTACCAACAAGAGGTCAAACTACTAAAAAGTTAAGTTTTGTTTTTTTCTATTAAAATAAATTGACGTCAAGAACTAGTCTAATAAACTTTTGAAACTGAAATGAACTGGACAAACTTGTTTACATAATCTATATATAATCTATAGTATTTTAGGAATAACGAAATATTTATTTGTTTGAATTTTTCAAGTCATATATTCTTCTTTTTTCTATTAGAAGTTTCCTGTGACTAATCCGGAGCACCATGCAATGAAAAACGTTCAATTGTTGCTGATTTATTATAATAAAAAAATGGCCCTATTGTTGGATCTAATAAAAATACTGTCCATATTAAATTAATAGAAAAAAAACATTAGGAAATTGTTTAGCATTTAGATAACAAAAATTGGCGGAAGCCGAGAAAAAAGTACAACAAAATAAGGATGAAAGTTCTAGGACTACATATTATTTAGTCATAAAATCATACAGGGCTTGTTGTTAATCATCTTAAGCTAACTAATATCCCTGGGGCATGAGCCTGCCTCAAGAATTAAATAGAGAAGAGCATTCCTATTAGAAATTACATAGATGCCTGGTAAAAGACCATGTTCAATGTTGTTCTGAAGTAAGGTATCTGCTAGAAATATGGGTTAGCATTTCAAGATCAAGACACGCTTAAAAGCTCCTGGTGTCATTGTATCTATCTGAAACATCTTACCTATAGCTGTCAACAGAAAGCATTAATAAAGCAAATAGATACACTTTGTTGTAATAATTACCAATATATCTAATCAAACCTCAAAAAAGCAAGGTCGCAACAACACAAAAGTAGCAAAAAACATTCCAATCCAGGTCGGCATCGCATCGTTGAATCTAAGTTGCGGTTGCGTCATGAAGACCGGCGTTATTGTGGAACGATTAAATCAGAGTTCAAGTGTACGCACCGCCAGCATACCAGATGCACTGGTGAAAGTGACAACGCCTCGAACAATTTCGCAACCTCGAAACTTCTTCGGGTAACTATCCATCCACATAATATTTTTTATAGCTTTTGAAGTTTCGCAGATGACAAAAGACTGTCGTGTCTAGACTACACGACAGTGGATGACGGATGTGAATTCCTTTGACAAGCTAAATTCGATGTCTGTCCGTCTGCGTCTATATTAAAGATACATGATGTCGTTTTCTCCCTGCCATTTGCTACACCTTTACTTATATAAATTCACGCATCGACCCATGATAAAATTATTTTGGTCAACTTGTGTAATTGTAAAAACCTGATAATCCCGCTCAAAATACGAACAAAAAAAAGTTGAAAAAATACATTGCAATCGGCGGACCGCTCTGTAGAATACTTTCATTTTAATCAAATCAATTGCCAGGTTGTAATTGTTAAGTTCTTCATTTTGAAATTTGACTACAGCGTCAGCAACATACATAATCCTATAAAGTTTTATTTTAGTGTTAAATGCCCGCCTGATAGTAAGCGGCCACCATAGCAATGTAGATGCTTGCGATAACAAAAACATCACTCCCACGCCCAATCCAATGCCCTAGCCCGTGGAGCCATGGAACCTAACTCACCGACAGAAACACAACACAACCAAAAGATAGTGGTATTTCCGAGTAATCTTCTGTAAGATGGAGATTACTTCTCCAGATAGGCGCTCCAATTCAAGTCAAAAGTATGCGCTATGTACCCTACTTCTCCCAAAAGTACCAAAAAAGCTTCCAATCATTATTTTTAGATACTTATTTAAGACTGTTTGATACTCAGATTGTATTATAATCTTTTTGAAGTTATACTTCTTTAGGCGCGTTATGAAAAAATGATGAGGGTGAAATTTTTAGATGCACGCGCATCACTGTAACCCAAAAGTAACAGCATGAAGTTGGCCGCGGGCGCGTTATGAAAAAATCATGTGAGTGAAATTTCGAGATGCGCGCGCATCACTGTAACACAATAGTAACACCATGAAGTTGGCCGCGGGCGCGTTATGAATGTTAGTGTCTAATAATGGTGGATTATTAACCACTTAGTGGTTAATAATCCACCATTATTAGACATCTGTTCGAAAGGTACTTTGAACGATCCACGGAGCTCCATAAGATAATCGCGTTGTCAAAAACAATGTTGGCACGCTCGTCGCCTCTGATGACTGTTTTCATATTTATAATATTTATCCACATGTTTCTAGTTTCTATATAGACACAACGTGTTTTAGTTACTTACAAGTGCTAATTACATATGGACTAATAACTTAAATTCAGTAGTGATTTTAATTGAATATTTTATTTAATTTTTCAAATTAAAACTGAACTTAATTGACTGTGTTAACTATCCTTTTCCAGTCCTTTTATTATTTTATTGTAATTATTAATTATTTGCATGCAATTAAAAAATATTTTTAATGATGCTAAAGAAGTATAACTTCTCACGCGCGTACATAAATTACACGCATCCATTTTTTTATTTTTCCACGTATTTATGTCATATTTCAGTTTGCTTTGTTCCTTTGTTCGTTTTTTTAATACAGTTGTCATTGAACCGTAATCCTGTTTTTATTTCTCTTGTTTCCCGTAATTCTACCGAGTCATCCTCAGCTGTCGTTAATATATATTTTCCTTCTCCGGTTTCTTTCTTAAAACCAATTATTTTTTGATTATTTATTTTGTCAAGGTTGAGAATTGATATCAGGGGAAAGTCAGAGTAGAAAAAGGTCATCATCCAAGTAGTGACAACATGGACGACCAGTAGCTGCCCCTTCTAAGGGAATCCTACCTCCTCCCGTAGATCGTTCTCGCGGCTCCCCAAACTCCAGGTTCTCCTGCTCCACAGCAATAATGCGTGCTCAGAAACTTGCCCTACAACCAGTACATTTGCAAAAAGTCGCAGCTGCCAAAGCAGCGTCAGCAGAAGCAGTAGCAGCGACAGCGGCAGCGGCAGCGGCCACTGAACGAAAGACTGAGGACTTAGAACTGGAAGCCGAAATAGCAGCGTTGGAGGCCGAAAGTGTAAGGAGAGGAAAAAGATCAAGATCATAGATGCTTATGCCCTCTTAGACGATAGATCAACAGCAACCCTTATTGCCGCCGATTTATGCAAATTCATAGTGTCAGGACCTGAAACTCAGGTTGGTCTTGATTGTTACAGCGGCAGTAAAAATTTGAACGTCCATATAAGACGAATTTGATATTAAGGGCCGCCATTATACCAATAAGTAGAAGGTTCGAAAAGCCAGCTGTTAACAATCTAGGGTTGTCAAAACAGACTATTAGGGTTGATGATTAAAAAAAATACAAATTTGTCTCATCTTCGCAATAATCTGTGCTACGAACACGTGGAACCTAAGCTCATAATTAGTATTGACAACTGGCACTTGACAATATCCAAGTCAGTTATTAGGAGGGGCTTAAAGTCACAACCAGTTGCAATCGACATAAATCTTGGCTTTGTTTTATTCGGTCTTCCGTCGACTACGACGAAACCCCTAGATATTGACAATCATATTATTATTTTGGAATCTGATATCGAAGCATCAGACATTAATAAATTAGACCTGATGATTCAAAATTATTATAAATTAGATTCTCTAAGAATAATTAAGAATGAATCTCTTAGTAAAAATTTATTGAAAGCCGTTAAGATTTTGGAAAAGACTACTCGAAAGTTGGCAGAAGGGAGGTTTTAAATAGGCTCTCCATGTAAGGATGCTACTTTAGATTTTCCGGAAAGCTTTTATCTGTCCTATAGACCTTTTATCCAAGATATTTAAATCTAAAGAAAAAGATATGTTGAATAAAAGTAAGCAGAAGGTCCTGTTGAACTACATTCCAATATTTTTAGAGCTTGGTACTATAGAGTTCTACCCAGAATGGATAGAACCTAGGGGCGTAGACGATAATTGAAAAAATACTGATAGAGATAAATTATTTATTTTATTTTATCATTCAGGCGATTATAAAGAATTTTATCTAAATACGAGAGGAAGTTCTTGGTGCCTGAAGATCTAATCTAGAATGGAACCTTCTATCAAAAGACAGACGATTCCTTATTTCAAATTAAAATCATGACATTAACTTTTTAATATAACTGCCAACCGTAGGCATTGCAAAAGCAAAGAGTTTACTTAAACAAGGAGGCTGTAACGTGTCGGACGTCACAGTACTTAACCCAATATTTATTCTTTTTTTAAAGACAGGTCTGACAAATGACGACGAGTGATAAAGAAATTAGTCACCAAATTTCTTAGTACGCGTTGGAATTGTGGCCACAGTTAGACGGTGACATCGTAAGCCCGCACGCGTGGTCCTCTGAAGGAAAGGGGAAGGTGGAATAAGAATAACTCCTCAGAACACTCACTGTGGTATAGACGATAGATATCACGGCGTAATTGAAGAGGCTCGAGGTGTTTAGTCACCTCCTCATCGCCTATGATGCGGATCGCACGCCGCTTTAACCTATCCAAGGCATCGAGCAAGTACTTGGCAGAGCCATCCC